AAAAAAAAAAAACAAGCCTAACCCAAACCCAAACCAACCAAACAACTCCCCTGCCCCGGAGAAGAAAGACATCTTGTCTTATAAAGTCATTGCAGTGTTTCTAGTGGAAGGACTGTGACTTAGGTCACCCACGTGGGGCAGTGGGCAAGTACAGCGAGGTCTGTCAGGAGGATTTGCTAAGAGGCACAGGGATGAACTAGGGGGACCGTAGCACTGCAGAATAGTCATGAAATTGAGATTCCTTTTGGGGTGTGAAGCATCTGAAGGGAAGAGATGCCAGCCTCATGGGTAGAGGGTTTGAGGATAGGTAGAGCTGAGAAGCAATGTTTGATATTCCTTGTCTTTTTTTTAAATATTTATTTATTTTATTATGTATACAATATTCTGTCTGTGTATCTGCCTGCAGGCCAGAAGAGGGCACCAGACCCCATTACAGATGGTTGTGAGCCACCATGTGGTTGCTGGGAATTGAACTCAGGACCTCTGGAAGAGCAGGCAGTGCTCTTAACCACTGAGCCATCTCTCCAGCCCTATTCCTTGTCTTTTTAAGTGGAATTTTGTTCTGTTTTCGAGACAGGGTTTCTCCATTGCTTTTGGAGCCTGTCCTGGAACTTGTTCTGTAGCCCTGGCTGACTGGGAATTCAAAGAGCCTCTCGTGTGTGTTGTTTAGGTTTTTGAGACAGTCTCACTATGGAGTCCAGGGTGGATCTCCATAGTGATTTATGATCCTCCTGCCTCTGTTTCCTGAGTGCTGGGATTACAGGCCCATGATGCCATGCCTGGTAACAGATTTTTACTTTAGAAAACACTGTTTTTTTTTTTTTACACAAGAGACATTAAGAACTGAATTTAACTGTAACTCCAGCACCCAGGGAAGAAGCATGTGGACCTCAAGTTAAAGGGCACCCTGAGTTACACACACACAATAAATCCTAGGCCAACATGGTAACATAAACTAAGACTCCAGTACAAAAAAGAAATTGAATTTGCCATATTGAAACGACTTTATGTGTTTGGGTGTTTTGCCTGTATATATGCTCTGTGCCATGGAAAAGTACCACCCTTGGAGGCGAAAAAGGGACAAAGGCCCCTGGAACTGGAGTTATGGAAGGCTCTGAAGTGCCCTGTGAGTGCTGTGAATTGAATTTGGAGCCTCAAAAGAGCAGCCAATGCTCTGGCTTCTTAGCTGCCTCTCCAGCCCTAAAATGGCTTTTCATGTGGACGGGGCTGGACAAACAAGAGGACACACAAAAGATGATGAAGGTCAGGCTTTGACGAAAACCATTACTACATGTGTGGACACGTGTGTCATAGCAGGCATGTAGATGTTAGTGGACAATTCTGTGACTTGGTTCTCTCCTTCCACCTTTACATGGGTTCCAGAGATCAAACTTAGGCTGTCAGGCTTGGTGCCTTTACTCACCAAGCCATCTCACCAGCCCAGGTCTGCCTTTCTGACAGCAAAGTTACAAATAAACAAGGAGAGATGTCTAGAATGAGCCCAGACTGGAGCTGAAGCTATCAGCATGAGTCCACACCATTTTAATCATATATGCAGCTAGACACACACAGAAATAAGTACAGAGATGTGCACACACAGGCTGGCATGTGCAAGTTTCTCCCTTAGCTCTGTCTTATAGGAGAACCTAGAAACGGGGACACTCCCTTAGCAACAAGCACACTAGCATCTAGAACTTGCTGTCTAAATATAACTCTAGAGCTCAAAAGCAAGGAAGTGCTGTGCTAGGAATATAGCTTAGTTGCTACAGTTTTTGACTAGCATGAAAGAAGCCTAGGGCTTGATCTCCAGCACTGCAAAAATACAGCCCGGTGGTGCACACTTGGAATCCTAGGGCTGGGGACAGGGAGACAAAAGGACCAGAAGTTCAAGGTCAAGTTTAGCTATATAGTAAACCAGAGGCCAGAAGTAGCTATATGAGACCTTATCTTTAAAAAAGGGGGGGGGTGTTCCATAAAAAAAATACCAAAAATAAGGGCACATTCAAAGGACACAGGAGCTAACCTGCAGGACACCTCAAGTAGAAAATATGAATTCCCACAGTATTAGTTTTCTTTCCAAGGCTGTGACAAATCCCCAAGACCAAAAGCAACTAAAGGGCAGGAAAGACTTTTTCATATTATAGATATAATCCATCATTGAGAGCAGTCTAAACAGGAACCTAAGTTGGAATCTGAACCAGAAATCATGAAGGAACATTGACTCACAGGCTCATATAGAGGATAGGACCATTGCCCAGGGGATGGTGTCACCCACAGAGGTCTGGTCCCTCAGACATCAATTAACAACCTAGACAGGACAATCTGAGTAGGTAGTCCTTCAGTTGATTCCCTTCTCAGGTGACTCGCTTAGGCCGTGTCAAGCTGACAGTTAAAACTAACTAGGACCCTGTCCCCACATAGCTAAGTTCACACTGATGCAAGTAGCCGAGAAAGGTTCTCAATGGGGAGATGCTACATGGAAGATGTAAGACTTCTTTCTTTCATTATACTAACCATAAAACATAGAAGAGATGAGGGAAAGGAACTGACCGTCTCAACGGCACAGCACGAAGATACATGGAGGACAGGTATGGTGGTATACACCTGTAATCTCAGTATTTGGGAGACAGAGGCAGGAGGATTGCTACAAGTTCTAGGTAGGCCTGGGCTACACAGTGAGATAACCAACTGAACAAACAAAAAGATCCGCCTGCAACAGTGGCTCTCAACCTCCCGAAAGCTGTAAACTTTCAATACGGTTCCTCATGTTGTAATTCCCCAATTATAAAATTATTTCTGTTACTACTTCATAAGTGTAATTTTGCTATGGTTATGAATTGTAATATATTTGTGTTTTCTGATGGTCTTAGGCGGCTCCTACGCACTGAGTCCCTGATTCAAGGAGAGACCCTGCCTCAAAAATAAAATGAAGAGCAATTGAAAAAGGCACAAGAAGGTAAGCTCTGCCCTCCAATAAACATGCATATAGCACACACACACACCAAAACATTATGCACTCTGCAATCTTTGTATTTAAAAGGGTGAGGCAAGAGTATCACCAGTAGTTCAAGGCTAGCCAAGACTAAGAGACCCTGTCTCAAAAATAAACAAATAGGGGCTGGAGAGATGGCCCAGTGGTTAGGAGCATTGCCTGCTCTTCCATAGGTCCTGAGTTCAATTCCCGGCAACCACATGGTGACTCACAACCATCTGTAATGAGGTATGGTGTCCTCTTCTGGCCTGCAGGCATACACACAGACAAAATATTGTATGCATAATAAATAAATATTTAAAAAAGAAAACAAATAAACAAAACTGAAACAAAAAGAAAACCCAAGAACAGATTAAACACAATGCCCATCAAAATCCCAGCAAAATTCCTCAAAGACCTAAAAAGAACAGTACTCAACTTCATATGGAAAAGCAATAAACCCAGGATAGCCAAAACAATCCTGTACAATAAAATAACTTCTTTTTGTTGTTGTTTTTGTTTTTTGAGACAGGGTTTCTCAGTGTAGCTTTTAGAACCTGTCCTGGCACTAGCTCTTATAGACCATGCTGGCCTCGAACTCACAGAGATCCACCTGCCTCTGCCTCCCGAGTGATGGGATTAAAGGCGTGAGCCACCACTATAAAAGAACTTCTGGAGGCATCACAATCCCTGACTTCAAACTCTACTACAGAGCTACGGTACTGAAAACAGCCTGGCATAAGAACAGACAGGAGGACCAATGGAACCGAATAGAAGACCTGGATATCAATCCACACATCTTCGAACACCTGATATTTGATAAAGAAGCAAAAAATATCAAATGGAAAAAAGAAAGCATATTTAACACGTGGTGCTAGTATAACTGGTTATCAACATGTAGAAGAATGAAAATAGACCCATATCTATCACCATGCACAAAACTCAAGTCCAAATGGATCAAAGACCTCAGCATAAAGCCAGCCACACTGAACCTCATAGAAGAGAAAGTGGGAAGTACACTTGAATGCATTGGCACAGGAGCCACTTCCTAAATAGAACCCCAGCAGCACAGATACTGAGAGAAACAATTAATAAATGGGCCTCCTGAAACTGAAAAGCTTCTGTAAAGCAAAGCACATGGTCAACAAGACAAAACGACAGCCTACAGAATGGGAAAAGATCTTCACTATCCCCACATCAGACAGAGGTCTGAGCTCCAAAATATACAAAGAACTCAAGAAGAACACCAAAAGATCACATAATCCAATAAAAAAAATGGAGTACAGACCTAAAGAGAGAACTCTCAACAAAGGAATCCAAAATGGCTGAAAGACACTTAAGGAAATGTTCAACATCCTTAGTCATCAGAGAAATGCAAATTAAAACAACTCTGAGATTCCATCTAACCTGTAAGAGTGGTCAAAATCAAAAACACTGATGACAACTTATGCTGGAAAGGTTGTGGGGGAAAGGGAACACTTCTGCATTGCTGGTGGGAATGCAAGCTGGTACAACCCCTTTAGATGTCAGTGTGGTGATTTCTCAGAAAATTAGGAAACAACCTTCCTCAAGACCCAGTAATACCCCTTTTGGGTATACACAAAAGATGCTCAATCATGCCACAAGGACATGTGCTCAACTATGTTCATAGCAGCTCTGTTTGTCATAGCCAGAACCTGGAAACAATCTAAATGCCCCTCGACCAAAAAATGGATAAGGAAAATGTGGTATATTTGCACAATGGAGTACTACACAGCAGAAAAAAATAACGGCAGCTTGGATTTTGCAGAAAAATGGATGGAGCTAGAAAACATTATTTTGAGTGAGGTAACCCAGACACAGAAAGACAAGTATCACATGTACTCACTTATAGGTGGTTTTTAAACATAGAGCAAAGAAAGCCAGCCTACAAACCACAATCCCAGAGAACTTAGACAACAATGTGGACACTAAGAGAGACTTACATAAATCTAATCTACACGTGAAGTAGAAAGTATAAAAAGACAAGATCTCCTGAGCAAATTGGGAGCATGGGAACCTTGGGGGACAATTGAAGGAGGGAGGGGAATGGCAGGGAGGGGAGCAGAGAAAAATGTAGAGCTCAATAAATATCAATAAAAAATGTATAAAAAAATAAAAATTAAAAAAAGAGCTAGTGGAACAAGCACAAACCAAGGCTGAGTATTCATAATTTTAAAAAGAAAAAGAAACCCAAGAACCAAGAAGTAGTGGTGCATGCCTCGAGTCCCAGGGGACAGAGGCCTGTGGATCTCGTGAGTTCAAGACCAGCTTGGCCTACAGAGTGAGTTCCAGGAAAGAAAGGAACACACAGAGAAACCCTGCTTCCACAAGCCAAGCAAACAAAAGAAACCCAGGTGTGGCTGTGCATGCCTTCAATTTTAGCACTTGGGATGCAGAGGCAGGAAGATCTCTGTAAATTTGAGGCCAGCCTGGTCTACATAGGGAGTTTTCGGCTAGTCAGGGTTATGTAGTGAAACCCTATCTAAAAACAAAAAACAAAAACCACAACACACACACACAAACACACACACAAAACCATAGGTAAGCTTGCTCCCCAACTTGACAATCTGAGCTCAAGTCTGGGGGCCCACATGGTACAAGGCAAGAACCAACTCCTAACTGCTGTCCTCTAACCTCCACACGCATGTCATTTCCTACACACCACCTTCCCACACACATAAATGTAACTAAAAATGCTTTTAGGCAAAGTATGACACATGTCTTTATTCCAGCACCTGGGAGTCAGAGACAGGTAGATCTCTATGAGTTTGGGAGAAACCTGGTCTACATAAGTGAGACTGTGTCTCAAAAATCAAACAAACACACACACACACACACACACAAAAACAACCAAAATTAATAGAATGGAAAATTATGCCATGAAGTTTTAAAACCATATTCATTTTACATGTGTGTGCACACACGAGCGTGCACAGGGGCACATGTCATGTCTGTTGTTCACGAAGAAGGAAAGCGACACCTGTGGCTCCAAAGACTAATAACTTGCCACATCAGTGCTCTCTGATCCTTGCAGCCCTGACCAGTCAGGACAAGGACTCAGGAGCCTCACTTCCCCTGACAGCCCAGGCAGGGACAGAAGTGGGGTTTATAAGCAGAAAAGCCACAAACATTTGTTGCCAAGTTACAGCTTTCACCCCTCAGGAGCCAAAGACTGGGGACTTTCCCATGTCCCATCACTGTCAACCAAGACAGAGTGCCCAGCCAATCAGCCTCAGTTCTTCTTCCTGTTGTTAGAAACAGCTGTAATGTTTTAGAGAACTAGAGGCATAACAGACGGTTTCTAGTGTCTAAGGAGAGGTTGATCAGCCATTGGAAAGCTCCCAGTTCCCCTAGGGCTTGGGAACCTGAACTTTGTTTCACCCTACAGGTAAAATGGAGTCTCCTGTCAAAATGGCAGTACTTAAGCCAAGATGTTTTTGCCTGCTCCCTTCAGAGATCAGACCACAACATTTAGGATTTGGTTCTTTTCCTTCTCCCTCAGGTTGTCAGGATGGACAGCAAGCATCTACTGGCCCACAGTATTATGATTTATATCAGAAATCTCTTTTCTTTAGGTTCTTAATACTTGAAGCACAATTGTGTCAATCATTTATATAAGACATTATCTCATCTTTGCTTTTTTTAATTAATTAATTTATTATATATACACATGCCAGAAGAGGGCACCAGATCTTATTATTGATGGTTGTGAGCCACCATGTGGTCGCTGGGAATTGAACTCAGGACTTCTGGAAGAACAACCAGTGCTCTTAACCACCGAGCCATCTCTCCAGTCCCTCATCTTTGCTTTCACATAGCCTTTTTTTTGCCAGGCATGGTGATGTACATCTTTAATCTCTGCATGCCCGAGGGTAATGCAGGAGCACCTGTGAGTTCAAGGCCAGCCTGGGTTACACAATGTGTACCAGGGCTAGGCAGGCCACTTCAAAACTCCAAATAAATGGCTGGACATGGTGGTGCCCACCTTTGATCTTAGTACTCAATAGGCAGAGGCCAGCCTGGTCTACATACTGAACTCCAGGCCAGCCAGGGCTACATAGTGAGACCCTGTCTCAAGGAAACAACAGTCACAAAACCAAACAAACAAATCCCATAACATACCTACTTCTCGAGCAAGAATAATGCTGCTGAGGCGGATTGGTTGGGTGGATTCAGCAACAAGAACAGCTCTTTGGGAACAAGAGGTGCCGTTTTCATAAGAAGGCTCAATGGTTACTACATCGTGGTGAGTGGAATGCCTGCCAAACAAACAGTTTAGAGCATGAAATGCGAGCCAAGCAATGATGGCTCAGGCCTCTAATCCTAGCACTCAGGGGCTGGAGAGATGGCTCAGAGGTTAAGAGCACTGGCTGCTCTTCCAGAGGTCCTGAGTTCAATTCCCACCAACCACATGGTGGCTCACAACCATCTGTACTGAGATCTCGTGCCCTCTTCTGGCATGTGGGCATGCATGGAGGCAGAATGTTGAATACATAATAAATAAGTATATAAATAAAATCTTAGCGCTTGGGAGACAGAGGCGGGTGGATTTCTGTGTGTTCGAGGCCAGCCTGGTGTACAAGAGCTAGTTCCAGGACAGCTAACCCTGTCTTGAAAAACCAAAGGAAAAAAAAAAAGAGCATGAAATGCTTGGGTCAAGGCAACATCTGGAAGAAAGGTCTGCACTTCTCCCATGCTACCTATGACTAGGTATGCCTTAAAGACACTCTGGAAAACTGTCAGAGGACACAAGATTAAAACAGGAGAGTGATCTGTACCTTTTTCCAGTGGTTTCTCCTGCAAAGATCTAAAATGCTATATTCCTCCCAGGATGGCTAATAAAAAGACTCGCCAGACGGTGGAGGACACACAATCTCCAGCACTTAGGTGACAGAGGCAGGTGCGTCTCGAGTTCGAGAGACCAGCCTAGTCTACAGAGTGTGTTCCTAGATGCCCAGGGCTACACAGAGAAACCCTGCCTCAAAACAAAACAAAAAGACTCACACTGTGGGAAATAACACTGGGGCTATGTTTGCAACACGATAGGACTTCTCTTATCCTGAGAAATGATTTCCTGAAAGCCCCAAAATTGAGGCGCTAAGATGGAAAAGTTGCCTACTTCCTGAGACTAAACAAAAATACAACTCGCCTGGATGAAAAGCTCTCAGATTCCAGGTCCTCTACAAGCCTAAGTTCCTTATCCTTCCTCATGAACTGAGACTTGAAATTCTTGTACTCTATGAGATAAAAACCTCACTGCTTCTCATGGAAGGCAGGAAAGGGGCTGGGGAAGCAGTTCCTCAGCAGAGGGTTTGCCTAGCGTGTGCAAAGCCATACATAGTCCAACCCTCCGTTCTGCAAAGATACAGAAAGGGGAAATCTCTTTCATTTAGGATTTTAGTTAAACTCCCTTACAATTCTGGTAGCCGCATGACCTGCTATTGGGTTCTCTTAGAGTCAGGAAGGTCATTAACCCAGGACAGACTTCCCTCTTCCGTTGCACCAGGGGAAGGGAGCTCTCCTCACACGGGCGGATCTCATTTTCAGGCATGATGATCGTTGTCTTGTTACTCTAGTTTTGTCGTTGCTCTCAGGTTCTTCTAATGTGGCTCTCACTTTACCTGTCTTTGTTTCCATTATAAATCCCTCAAACTGGGGGAAATACCTGGCGGCAGTGTCGGGCATAGGGCTCGCCTGTGCCGACAGCTGCTTACACGGGCTGTCTCAGCAGGGAGGCAGACTCGCACGCTAGTCCATTTCTTACTAAAAAGAGCCTCCAATTTAGGGTCTATTCCATCCAAGGATGCGACTTCCAGGCCCCTGCACACTGTGGGACCACACCTCATTCCTGTAAGCCCATCCCTCTTCACTGTGGGTGTGTGTGTGGGGGTGGGCAAGATCCTGCGACCTCTGGCGCCCCTCACCAGCTGTAGCAGCCGCGCTGCGCCTCCAGCAAGAAGGGCACCCGGCCTGGCTCCCGGCTGAACGGCAGTAACACTTGCGGCACATTGAGTTTGTTGGCCAAGGTCCCAACTAAAAACAGGAAGAGGTGGTGTGGGGTCAAGCAGAAAAGGTGCCTGAAGCTTTGGGTTGCAGGAGCCCTAGAGACAATCATGGCTACCGCCTTAGTCTCAGCTTCCCACTCAACTACTGCCCCCGCCCCTGCAACACCAACCAATCCGCAGCCACAACGTCAGCGGATGCTTTCTCACTAGGAATTGTGGGTACTTTTTAAGTGCGTCCAAGCTAACAGGTAAATTTCGGGCGCTTTACTAAATATTTGATGATAAACTTTACTAGCTGAGAACCAGAAAGAAAGGTCCAAAAACCCAGCGGTCTCCCATCTCAGCCCCACATGCGGTTATTGTTTGGTTCGATTTTAATGTTTTCAATAAAAAAGGGCAGAAAGATTGGGGTGAAACTCATGACTCACATGCACAAGGGTCTGGGTTCACACCCTCCAATACTAAACACAAGAAACAAGTTATTTAACTTAAAAAAAATTGAAGGAATTTCCAGTCAGCATTAGTCTCAGGCTATAAGTGGAAAAAATCCCATGAAAAGCTAGCATGAACAGCTGGCTTTAGTGAAGGTATGTATGTATGTTATTTTTCCTAGGATTTATGTCCTGCTTCCAGACCACGGTGCAGGGAATAACTGACGCTGGCCTCAGAAGCAACTGAGAAAGTCATTGTCTCACACAACCTGACTCGGGAATAGAAACCCTGGGCACTCTTGTGTGTTACTGGGCTGTGGTGGCACATATCCATAATTCCAGGAAGCAGGAGGCTGAGGCAGGAGGATCAAGAAGCTTAGTGTAGGGGACTAGAGAGTAAGAGCACTGGCTGCTCTTCCAGAGGATCCAGGTTTGATTCCCAGCACCCCAATGGCAGCTAACAGCTCCCTGTAACTCCAGTTCCAGAGGATCTAACACCTTCACACCAATGCACAAAAAATAAAGTTAAATAAATT